TCCCGTCTCGCCGCCCTCGTCACCTCCCGCCTCGCCACCCTCGGTTCCGTCCGCCTCGCCGCCGACTTTACCTCCCGCCTCGCCATTTTCTTTGCCTCCCGCCTCGCCGCCCTCACCGCCGCCGCCGTCGCTGTCGCCCTCACCGCCCCCAATTCCTCCGCCCTCCACGCCGCCGCCAGCCCCGCCCCCTCCCACGGCGCCGCCTCCGGCACCGCCGCCGCCTGCCCCTCCGCCGCCCTCGTCAGCTCCGACCTCCGCCCCCAGCGTCTCGTCGCCCTCGTCAGCTCCGACCTCCGCCCCCAGCGTCTCGTCGCCCTCGTCAGCTCCGACCTCCGCCCCCAGCGTTTTCCCTGTTCTTCCCTCCTCGTCGCCCTCGTCAGCTCCGACCTCCGCCCCCAGCGTCTCGTCGCCCTCGTCACCTCCTGCCTCGCCGCCCGCGCTGCCTCCTGCGTCGCCGCCCGCGTCGCCTCCCGCCTCGCCGCCCGCGTCACCTCCCGTCTCGCCGCCCTCGTCACCTCCCGCCTCGCCGCCCGCGTCGCCGCCCGCCTCGCCGCCGTCTTTACCTCCCGCCTCGCCGCCCTCATCGCCTCCCGCGTCGCCGCCCGCGTCGCCGCCCGCCTCGCCGCCCGCGTCACCTCCCGTCTCGCCGCCCTCGTCACCTCCCGCCTCGCCACCCTCGTCGCCGCCCGCCTCGCCGCCGTCGTTACCTCCCGCCTCGCCACCCTCTTTGCCTCCCGCCTCGCCGCCCTCGCCGCCGCCGCCGTCGCTGTCGCCCTCACCGCCCCCAATTCCCTCCACGCCGCCGCCAGCCCCGCCCCCTCCCACGCCGCCGCCTCCGGCACCGCCGCCGCCTGCCCCTCCGCCGCCCTCGTCAGCTCCGACCTCCGCCCCCAGCGTCTCGTCGCCCTCGTCAGCTCCGACCTCCGCCCCCAGCGTTTTCCCTGTTCTTCCCTCCTCGTCGCCCTCGTCAGCTCCGACCTCCGCCCCCAGCGTCTCGTCGCCCTCGTCAGCTCCGACCTCCGCCCCCAGCGTCTCGTCGCCCTCGTCACCTCCGGCCTCGCCGCCCGCGCTGCCTCCTGCGTCGCCGCCCGCGTCGCCTCCCGCCTCGCCGCCCTATTTGCCACCGGCCTCACCGCCCTCTTTACCTCCCGCCTCGCCGCCCTCCTCGTCGCCCTCGTCAGCTCCGACCTCCGCCCCCAGCGTCTCGTCGCCCTCGTCAGCTCCGACCTCCGCCCCCAGCGTCTCGTCGCCCTCGTCACCTCCCGCCTCGCCACCCTCGTCGCCGCCCGCCTCGCCGCCGTCTTTACCTCCCGCCTCGCCACCCTCGTCGCCGCCCGCCTCGCCGCCCTCGCCGCCGCCGCCGTCGCTGTCGCCCTCACCGCCCCCAATTCCCTCCACGCCGCCGCCAGCCCCGCCCCCTCCCACGCCGCCGCCTCCGGCACCGCCGCCGCCTGCCCCTCCGCCGCCCTCGTCAGCTCCGACCTCCGCCCCCAGCGTCTTGTCGCCCTCGTCAGCTCCGACCTCCGCCCCCAGCGTCTCGTCGCCCTCGTCAGCTCCGACCTCCGCCCCCAGCGTCTCGTCGCCCTCGTCACCTCCTGCCTCGCCGCCCGCGCTGCCTCCTGCGTCGCCGCCTGAGTTCGCCACTGA